GCAGCTCTGACTCTGCAGACGAAGTACTGAAGGTTTAATTAAAAGGTACTTTTGCCCTGTCAAGTTTTTACACTTATAATAATTATTTAATATTATAATTGACAATGTTTTAAAATTTGTTCAACCCGCTGAACGATGCCCTTTTGCCCTAAAGTGATACCATTCTATGTACACGGTGCAATGACAATTATATTTTTAAATGGTTTATAATATATAGGGCCTATTAGTTTAGTGTTTTCCCCGTCATATCTGTAGTATTAGTACGTACATTAGTATTCTGTTGGCATTAAATTTCTATGTCTACCTGTCATTTATTTTTTTACGGTCACCTGATTATTGGATTGTTGTTTGTGCTGTTTTTACATGGCTTCTCACTGTTGCGCTTCTTGTTTTTTTTTTTTTTAACGTGGTGCTTTTGCTTATTTGAACCGACGATCTATTGGAAACAGTCTCTCTAATGCGTATGCAGTACGCACTAACCTCCCTAGACCCTACTATGTGAGATTATATTTGTTGTTGTTATTGGTTTATATATATATATATATATATATATATATATATATAACTTTACATTACCAGTATACGTGCTATAATATGTTGTTTATCATTTTATTGATTATACGTTTCAAACAAATGCTTATTAGATAGAGTTATTTATAATTATCTTTTAACTTATCTGATTGTGTAAATATTTTTTACTACTACTCCCTCCGATCCAAAATAAGTGATTTTTTGGCCTTTTTTTTATGGTCCAAAATAAGTGATTTTTCCAGATTTCAAGAATGAATTAATTGTTTTTTTTCTACATTGTCCTTGAAGTAAATAGTGTTGGAATATGTGTTAGGAGTGTTTATGTGAGATAGTAAAGGTTAATATGGTCAATTCCATTGCTAATTAATGCTAAAAGGTGAATTTCCTAATTTGTGTGAAAACATCCAAAAAATCACTTATTTTGGACCGGAGGGAGTACATTATATCGAATTCAAAAGGGGATTTAAATAGGAAATGTTTGCAGGCTAACTGAATTTAAGTGAATCATTTCATATCTTTTCTTAAAAGCATCCAAACAAGTAGAGATTTTCTAAAAAGAATAAGATATTAAAAAATAGTAAAAATAAGAAAAAAGTTAGTTTAAAAAGGTTACTTTACTTAATTGCTGTCTAATTGTTTGCTGAAATGTGAACAATTGTAACCATTACCTCGTAAATCTCATCCTTAGCATGTGTTAATTAAATGTATCTGGACAGTAAGTGAAGAATAAGATTTGAGATATTGATTAAGATTATAGTAATAATCAAGTTGTTAACTTATTTAATTAATTTTTTTAGTTAACTTTTGTTTGCTTTATGTGCACAGCACAGGGCTCCAAGATAACTTAATTTTTATGCCTGAAAATTCGTTACAAACATTAAAATAATTTACAAAGCACAAGAATTTTCTTGATTGCTCAATAAGATTCTCAAGATTAGTGTTAATTATTCGATAAATGTTTTCTGTCTACCAACCAGCAAACATGATCCTTAAGAAAAACTTTGGATTCTTATGTCAAAAGCGCGGGAATATATATAATTACTCTATTTAATTATGATTAAGTAATAAAAAATTATATGCAAAACACATATCTTGCATTTTTTATTTTTTTGCTTGGTATAAATACGGGTGCAGATAAATTTTCTTTCCCCATATCCTCAGGGGTGTATATAGTATTAAGGTGACGAGTTTAACTGAATTCATAACTTTTAATGCGGAGCATAAATTTATGTGTAAAAATCTACTAAACTTATACTAACAAATAGTAGAAATGAACTCGTAGCTTTACAGTTATGATTAAGTGATAAGAAATTGTATGTAAAACGCATATCTTAAATTTTGTTGCTTTGTATAAATATGTGCGCAGATAAAGAAAGATACTACTTCTTATGCACGGTTTCTTTATACATATAAACAGACAGGCGTACACAAATATATGTGAAAATTCATTAAAATTTAGATAACATCTTAAGTTTTAAACTCATATTAGCAAAAAACGAAATATGAAAATTGAACTCATCAAGTATAAATCATGAATACGCCTTTTGAAGAGCGCAATTAAGGCAGCTCATATTATGCAATGAATAGAGAAATTATACCACAAAAACAATGACAAGTTGATAAACAAAACTAAAATCTAATCACATGAATCATTGTAATGAGAATCTTTTTTTTTTTTTTTTACTTGCCAATTAATCTTATCTCTGTGTAGAATAGGGCAAGAATATAGGCATGTTCATTAATGGTGGTGGATTTCTTAAATTAAGGACTTAAGTTTTAATGCATTCTCTGCATATGTACTTCACTAATTCTGATTTCTGACCATTGACCATGTCTGGCATTGAAAAAAAAATTATGCTTTAATAATTTCATATTGAACTTTGACTTTTTCTAAATGAAAGAAAATTTAGGTGGACTGTATTATGATTGTTCTTAAACAATTAAAACTTCTTGCCAAATTCTTAATCAATGTACTTGGAAGTTAAATCCAATGAACTTGCGTTTTAATCCAATGAAAAACTTTAAAAAAACTAAAAGGCATTTTGTTTTGTAGCATGGGAAGGGGAGTTTTGGCGTAACTGGTAAGGTGCTGCCATGTGACTAGGAGGTCACGGTTTCGAGCCGTGAAAACAGCCTCTTGCAGAAATGTAAGGTAAGGTTGCGTACAATATACCATTTTGTAATAGTTGTAGCTAGGGGTGTACATGGACCGGGTTGGTTCGGATTTTATCAAAACCAAACCAAACCAACAATATCGGTTTGGATTGGTTCGGTTTTGTCGGGTTTTTCGGGTTTTTTTGTTACATGAATATTATTTCAATCTTACTTTGTTAAAATTATAGATAAAGCTTTGATAAGTGAATATATGTTTAGTAAATATGGAAAAAAATTGACAAACATATGATCTATTAAAATATTTTTATGGGAGAATTTTTTTAGTAACACATGATAGTTATTTTCTTAGTCGTCTAACAATAATTTTTCGTTAATCTACAATTTCAAGGTTAATACATGAGAGGATTCCAAATATTTCAACATTTTCTAAAGAAAATTCACTATAAAGTCTTAAAAATATAAATAAAATTTATATATTTATATGTCGGTTTGGTTCGGATTTTTTTACTCAATACCAAACCAAGTCAAACCAAACCTAATCGGGTTTTTTAATCGGTTTGGTTTGGTTTTTCGGTTTGGTGCGATTTTCCGGTTCGGTTTGAACACCCCTCTTGCAGCCATGAGTTCGAATCTTATCGCAGACAAAAGCATATTATTTAAGTGAAAAATGGTAGATGAATAAATTTATTATTCACCAATGCGTCCAGTTGATCCTCAGGGATTTCTAAATTATGAAAAAACAAAAGTTCACCTTTGAATATAACTATTGAAATTGAACATTATCTATAAATATCAGCTATTGTGTAAAGAAAATTGGATATGAGAAGATTATTTTTGCTGGCCTGATTATTTGATTAATGATCATATCTTTGAACCTTCATCTAAGAGTTGGAGAAGATACCCCTTATCAAATTTCATCCAGACCTTTGGTAAAGAGCGCTATCTCCTTTAATAAACTTTATACGATGCAAATTTGGATTAATTGGACCAATAAATTTTGAATATCAAATGATTCTATTAAAAAAAAAAAAGGAAAGTTCTCAAGATTTGGAGCATTGAATATCTTGGTTCTGCACTATTTAGCCTTGAATTGGCTACTTAACCAGAGAAAAAAGAAATAAAAAACCAGAGTTGAAGGAATGAAATAGACTTGTAGCTTTGGATTCGAGCTCTAGGAATGGAGAAATTCTATGTAGGAAGTGCTATTTCTTTTAATGAGCCCTATGCAATGCGAATCTGAATTAAGCAGAATAATGAGTTCTGAATATTCTACCCAAAGAAGTAGGAAAAAGACTAATTTTGATTATTTGGAGCATTGAAAATCTTGGTTTTGCTGCTCTATGTTGGCCTTGAATTGGCTAAATTAACCAGAATTGAAGAGATGAAATAGACTTGTAATTTCCTCCCTTCAACTCTCAGTGTGTTGTTTGAATTCTTTTGCCTTATGTTAACAATTTTTTTTTTCCCATCTCCGATATCCGCATTGGAGTCCGACTATATCCAGATTCGCGCCGCGTAGGGCCCCATTCGGGGGGTAGCGCTCCCTACCAAGGAATTTTCCATACCCATGGCTCGAACTCAAGACCTCTGATTAAGGGTGGAGCAGCCCCATCCACTGCACCACATCCTTTGGTGGTGCCTTATGTTAACAAGTTGAAAAATCAAGTATTGTTATCTAATGAATGTAAATACTGGTGTTTCACTATATTAGTGTTTTAGAATTCTCCAATCTTGGTAAAAAATCCCTTTTCCCTTTTGGTTTATTTGCTAAAGTCATCATTTTTGTTTTAAAATTTGGCTCATATAACAAGTAGAGGCAATTCAGAGTAGTAATTCTCTTAATATTTCTAAGGTAACAATACAAGTCAAATAGAATTGTTATTATCAGTGGAGAACCGGAGATTAATGTATCTTCTTGAGCCGGGGGTCTTTCGAAAACAACCTCTCTATCCCTTTGGGGTAGGGGTAAGACTTGCGTACATTTTACCCTCCCAGACCCCACTTGTGGGATTTTACTTCTTTACCCCTCTGGGGTAGGGGTAAGGTTTGCGTACACTCTACCATCCCGAGGTCCCACTTGTGTAAAATTGCCGAGGGTCTTTCAAAAACAACCTCTCTACCCCTCTGGGGTAGGGGTAAGATTTGCGTATATTTTATCCTCCCAGACCCCACTTGTGGAATTTTACTTCTTTACCCCTCTGAGGTAGGGATAAGGTTTGCGTACACTCTACCTTCCCAAGATCTCACTTGTGAAATTTTTATGTGTTATTGTTGTGGAGATCTATGTCTGTTTAATATGAAACAAAAGGGAAAAACAAGAGTTTGCAAGATGTAGAAAAAAAGCAGCTGAGATCTGTGAACCAGAAATATTATGACTGAATTTGTACAATTGCTTTCTTAGCAACAAAAAAGAAAACCATAGTCACTTTGTGTATGTTTGATGGGATAATTCCAAACAGAAAATAAAATAAAATTTGCAGGATCTTTAAACCACCATGGTTTGTTTTTCCTGCTATGTATATATAACATTTAACTCCAAAAAGAAACAACAAAAATAAATAAACTGTAAGTTTTTTTCTTGTTTGCACTTCTCCTAGTTGCAAGTCCAGAGAAAAACTGTTTCAATTACAAGATAATAATAACCTAAAAATGTAAAATTCAATATTCATATTCATCTAACTCGATAACCCAAGCTTGAAAAATACTCTCTTTTTAGTGTCAAGAGAGCAAAAACTTCATTTTCATCATCTCTTCTACTCCTGACATAGAAAAGGTACAAACTTTCTATTTTGGGAATTAACAATTATAGTTATACTCCACAACCCAAGCCTCTTGCTTCTGATCCTTTCATTATTCTCAGCCTCTTACAAGTAGACATAAACATTCTGCAATATCATTCAAAAAAAAAAACATTAGAGATCTTGGAAAATATATATATATATTTATCGCCACTTCCAAAAATAATAGCCGATAAAATATAAATTTTTTGTATATATATACATATTATATACATAAAATATACATATTATACACACTTTTTGGCTAGCGAATGCAATTTGTTTCTGCCGAATGGCCAATTTTGTATATTACCCTAGAATCTATACATATAAATAACATGTTTTCTGTAAGAAATTATGTAAAATCTATTTCAGACTAATAGGTTCACGTAAATTGAAACGGAAGGAGTAATTAAAAGTTCAAGAATGAAGAACTTACTCCCAAGGAACATCACCAACAAGCATCAAATCACCATCTTTATCTTCATAAGCAGGAGCAAATTCAGAACATTTGTAGCCTTCTCTTTCTGAGTATTCACCAATAGTGAGTTTGAACATGTTTTCTAAAGCTTTTAGCAGTTCAGGATAACACTTGTACATTTTCAGATCAATTTTTCTAAGATAAGGTGCTCCATCCATGCTAACTTTGACATACATTCCAGATTCAGTTTCTGTTTTCTTTGGTTGGATATTGTTCTTTCTGTAAGATCTCACTGGTGGCCATCCCACTATTTGTGCCCTGAAATCATTAGCCAAAATATTTTAGTGTTTCTTTCTTACAAAAAAGAAGATTTAAACCTAATCTTTTAAACTTAAACTAGCCGGCGGATGTTTTATAATTCATGTACCATATATGTATAATCAATATATAATCTATGTATACCGGCTAGAAAAAGTAAACATTAAATATGTCCGGCTATTTATGTAACAATCCCTATTTTGGAAGGATAGGGTTAGATGCAATAGGAAAGTTGTTTTTGTGTGATCTATAGGCAGTAACGAAGCCAGAAAATTCGATAAGGGTGTTCAAAATTTGAACATCCTTCACTAGTTGGCTATGCCGGGCGTTCAAAGTCTATTTTTTTTTTTATCAATAGCAAGTAATATTTTATCCTATACACAGTATAATTTTTCGACGACAGGTGTTCAGCTGACTAGCGTTGCCGCCCATAGCTTCACCCCGCCTATAGATTAGCGTTCCGAGCCCTAAAAGCAGCCACTAATACTTACATTAGGAGCTGTCTACATCTCATCACTTACCCGTGTGAACGTGGGATACCTTGTGCACAGGCTGCCTGCCCTTCTTATAAAAAAGCTGAGATTTTTATATCAATAAAAAAAGTTGAGACTTACTTGGAAACAGGTGGGGTTTTGACATCAGAACTAGACTTTGATTCACAATCTTCTGCATCTTCAGCTGATTGAGGTAAAGCCCTTTTGTTATTCTTGGAATTTGACAAGATGTCTTGTTCAGATTCTTGATCTTCTGTCCCTGGTAAACCTAATCTAAGCTCAGTTGCTTTGAGATTCAGATCTTTTTGATGTGCCACTAAACTTTCCATTTTTCCCTCGAAATAATTCTTGGATATTATCCCAAATAAACCTCTTTAAAACTAATAAGCCTCAAATACAAAGTCGCAAAATTTCCAAACACTTTCTTGATCAAGATTGCTGCTTAATTCTTCAAGATTGAGTTGATAGAAGAGATGTGTAATGCACTTGTATTTGTATTCAAGAAAAGGTGAGTTTTTTTTTGCAAGTTGTAGGTTGCTGTTATATAAAAGAGAAAGGTAAAGGGAAATTTGTAGACAAAGGGACTTTAGGTGGGGTGGTGGGGTGGTGGGGTAGGTGGTTGTAGGTGGGTGGGTGGGGTGGGGTGGGTATTTTGGAGAATCAAATGATAAAAATATTTTTGGTTAAAGTGCATAAATTTCGGACAAAGGCAAGCTAAAGTTGTCGGTAGCAAGAGTAGCAACTTTTAGACAAGGGAACCAACATTTAGGGGACAAATGTGGGACAAGTTCAGCCTCCCATATGGAAATTAGACTTTGAGGATTCAATGGAAAGGGATGGTTAAGATGAGTTTTGGGAGGCTATGGGAGAAAAATCCAGGTATATGGAAAAATTACACGACACATCAAACATATACATTGTATTAAGAGTCCGTTTGGATATAAGAGTTTTTTAACTATTTTTCGAAAAAATTTTATTTTTAGTCGAAATCAGTGTTTGGCCATAAAATTTTCAATTTCACTTGAAGATGAATTTTGGAATTTTTCTAAAATTTGAAAAACTCAAAAGCTATTTTTTAAAAAATTTCACTCAGATAACTCACAAAAATTCAAAAACAACCCAAAATTATATTCATGTCCAAACATAACTCTAATTTTCAAATATCATTTTCACTTGATTTTTTTTTTGGAATTTTACAATTCTTATGTCCAAACGCCCACTTATTGTTGGGTTATGGAGATGGGGTTGGGTAGGGGCGGAGCTAAAAATTAAGTACGAGTTAACAAGAATTTAATTCAGAATCTAATATTAATACTATTATCTTAGAACTCATAAAGTTTAAATTCTGGTTTCGCACGTAAAAATAGGTGGTTTTATAAGTAGGGTATGGGAATAGAGAAAAAAAAGTTTACACTTTACACCACCAAAACGTGTAGTGTAATGGTTGAAATCTCGTCATTCTAAATCAAAAGTCTCTAATTTGAGCTTTGGAAATAGAGAAGGATCTCCCTCAAGTACAGCGGCAGAAGGGAGCTTGACTGCAAGACTCGCTGTCTAATAGGGACAAAAGTCAGCCTTAGTACTCCAACGGCGCCGAGTGGAAGGACCATCGCGTAATAGATAAAAGTTACTCTAGGAATAACATGCTATCTTTCCCAAGAGCTCACATCGACAGGAAGGTTTGGCACATCGATATCAGCTCTTCGCCATGGGGCTGTAGAATGTTCCAAGGTTGGGTTGTTTGTCCATTTTCGTTAAAAATATTTTATTTCTATTTTGTACTTATTTAGCGCGAATACAAATTAATTGATGATAATTTCCAAATATTGAATAATCAAAAAATAAATAAAAAATTAAAAAAAAAAAAAGCCTACCATGTGGAATGAAAAGGAAGGTCCACATGGGTGTTGGTTATGTATGGGCAAGGCATGGTATAGCTTTTGAGGGAACTGAGATTTTGGCGGAGTTTGAATTTTTGGTTAAGTTCATGTTTGATGTCTACATTACGTCAATACCACATGCTGTATTTTTTTTTTTTTTTTTGTTACACATGGATTATGAGTAGAAATAAGAAATAATGGGAATCAAAATCAAATCAAATCAATTATATCGATTGAATTAGTTCGGTTTGTCGGATTTTTCAGATTTTCGGATTTTCTTTTTGTTACATGAATATTATTGCAATCTTATTTTGTTAAATATTTTATAAGTAAATATATGTTTAGTAAAAATTAAAAAAATTAACAAACATATGATGGAGAATTTTCTTAGTAACATATGATAGTTATTTTTTTTAGTCGTCTGACAATAATTTTTCGTTGATGTACACTTTCAAGGTTAGCTGAATAATTAAACATAAAAATCAATATGATACTATGATATGTCCTATTTAATTTTAAATTATCGAAATACCACTTCAAATTCGAAAAAGATATAAGAATTTAATAGATCTTGACATACGAATATGCAAGAACAAAGAGATTGAATTTCACTAACACTTGATAAGAAAGTGATCATACAATCTATTATTTAAAGATAATAAAAATAGAGCTATTCATATTTAACTAAATATTGTATCCCATAAGAGAATCGAATATATTTCAAGATATTTTTTAAAAAAAAATTCTATAAAAAGTCTTAAAAGTATATATAAAAAATTATATATTTATATGTCGGTTGGTTCAGATTTTTTTATTCAATTTCAAATTAAATCGAACTAAACCTAATCAAGTTGTTTAATCAATTTGATTTGATTCTTCGATTTGGTGTGATTTTTCGGTTCGGTTTGTACGTCCCCTACTCATATGTATAACTAATATATGAGTAATAACATTTATTGTCTGTATTTGAATTGACTCTCTTCTAAGGAATTCTATATTAAAAGTTCTTTTTTTCAGTGTTAGACTTTATTTGGTTTAAACTTGATTAATAGGAAAACTCCAAATCTGACACTGTTGAAATAATGAAATAAATACAAGAAATGGAAATGTTCAACTAAAGTGCTGCACCTTTTCAATATTTTGCTACCTTAATTTTGTTGTTTTTCTACTTAGGGTCAATTTAAGTTGCCAAATAAGCATATTCTTTATTTAATAATAAATATGACTAAGATATTCCAATTCAATTTAAAAGTTAAAAAACGAATTAGGTCTATATTTGTAGGTTGACATTAATTGTACCTTTTTTTTTCTTCTTTTTTGCTTCTTTTTTTAAGCAATATATTTACAGCAAATTATCAATTCAGTTATCATATACTTGTTGACGCAGTCAAAAGGGAGAGTATAATACAAAACTCGCATTATTTTTCTTTGACTTTTTTTCACATCTTAGATTCTTATATACATGTTTATTTATATTCTATAGTTTAGAAATGCTGCATTACTATTTTGTGATGTATATAGAAGTTTTTATGCCTAGATGCTTAAATTATTCGTGTTGCATTCAATACAATTTTAATTTATCTTTTTTACGCTTTTATCTGTTTCTTAATTCTATTTTCAAAGGTAATAAAAACTTTTCGTGAGGCTTATACCCCGAAAACTTTGCTCGTACAAAATATTACATCAATCTAATAAATACAAGACATATACTTTATATATACACTTTTTGACACTTAACTATGGTTAACTTATATATATTTCACTTAAATTTATTAATTTTTAAAATTAATTATTTAGTCACGTATAAACACCCAATGCAAGTAGGAAAAATTTCACATTAGAACAACTGGGCTCCCTACTTTTCAATTTTATAGCCCATATTTCAATTTACAACCAACTAGCTCAAAAATAATAGGCTAAGATTCAACATCCAACTCCAATAGGTTCTCAAAATTACTATTTAATTTTTAAAAAATATTCCTCAAGCTTTTAAATTAATTTTTGAATCAGTAACTGTAACTCAAATATTAGTTTAACAACCAAATTCATATGGGTGGTGAAAATTAGATTTTTAACAAGCTTAAATATGTGAGTTTAAATTTCGAATTTGATTTTGTGAGAAATTTGGAGTGGATGTTATCTAGACTTGTTAGAAATAGTATAAGGAGGTTGTATATAAAATTTGAAGTCATTTAATGGAGATTTGGACTGGTTTTGAACAAGAATTGCGACTGAAAATCGTGAAAGAAGTTCGTCTACAGATGCTTGTATAAAGGTGTATAAAAGTGTATAATAGTATATAATAAGATGTGTTTCTACACTATTATACACTATTATACAATATTATACATAATTATATAAAAAACTGACTTCATCTTCTTCCTTGCGTCTTTTCTGAAATTTAACTCAAATCTTGCTCAAATCTACTCCAAATCACTTCAAATTTAAATTTTGAACTCCTTTTGATATTTTCAATCAATTGGAACAACACCCAATCCAAACAACTAACAAATTCAAAAAAACTCATTTTTGAAAGCAAAGCTTTGAATGATCTTTAATGGTGGACTTCTACTCTTCAATTTTCTTACATTGCAAGCAGGTGACACAAGAGGAGAAGCAGAAAATACACGGCCCCTTGAAGCATGTAAAAGATGTGAGAAGAAGAGAGAGTGAAAGCAATGGTTCTGAGAACACAGATTTAACTCCATATCTTTTAGAAGCAAATGTTGTAAGAACACAGATTTTGAATTTACTAGTACTTTCAAAATATGTATAATGTGGGCTAGATCGGGTAAAACTTAAAAATCTGGGCCATTTTTTGTTATGGTACGAAATCATGTGTATTTTCTTATAATTCTTTCATGCAAGTACGTATTTACCAGTAAAGCACCTCGTCTCATAACTTGTGTCTATTGAAATAAGGTCTAAAATCATCAATTTATTTGCTTTGAAAAGATAAATTGACTGGTGATTTTGTCATTGAACCAATTACGCGTAAGCCATCCTGTAAAAACTGGTCAAGTAAAAGATCATTATTCATTATTTTGAAGTATGATGTTTCCCAATGTTGAAAGATCAATTAAAATACATAGTTGCCTCCCCATAGAAAAAAGGGCAAATTACAAGTTTGTGTACGGGTAAAACCGGGGGCAATGTCTATCCTGATTTCCCGATGAAAAATCGAAGGAGGAACACGTATCCGCGTGATCATAATCGGGGCCAGGGACCATCGTAACGAGACCCGGGAAGGGTGAACGACATATCCGACATCGGACACGCTAAAGCGACACACTCCAAACCGCGTATAACTTCTAGACCTCGGGAGACGCAGCGGATGATTATGCACGACTGATAAGGGATCGTGATAATCGCCCTCAACTGGACATTGCGACGCGAATCTCACTGAGAATCAATTACGGATCAATAATTACCAGGAAAAGGAGATTCTCACCTCTTTTAGACTTCTACTAGGACTGAAACTCTCATACTATATAAAGGGGAGGTTTTTTATTTCTTCTGACACATTGTAATACGCGATCCAAGGCAATAAAAGTTTATTTTTACCCTCTAGCTACTGTTAAGAATTTTGCTCACTTGTATTGTTCTTCATTCACAACTGGGCTCGAACCGAGGGTCCAATCGAGAACGAGGTTGTTGTTCAATCTAAGATCAGGC